CGTGGATAATAAAATCAGGCTTAAACCTTTGAGGAATAGAACTAAAGTGTACAAAAATGTGTATTACAGGTGTTTATTCAATAATATTCATATTGACTATAATTATGTTTTCTAATGGCAGTGTTGTAAATCAATTTATTAAGCATATTTTTAGCTGAACGGCACTTTAGGCTATTCTGTTTAGTTCTAAATTTTAGTTCTTTCAAGGTAAATCCAAATTTAGTGTAGCGACTTAGAGTTTTCAATGAATGTCAAAGCACGTCACATTTAGGCTCCAAAGGGACTTCAAAATTGACATCTGGAAAAGAAAGCCACCGTCTCCTTTTTCAAATCTCTGTTCATCTAAGATTTCCTATCCCAGCAAATGGGATAGATCACCATCTACATACAATGAGAGGAGGGGAGAGGGAGGGTGAGAGAAGGGAGAAGGGAGGAGGAGAAGGAGGCAGAGAAAGACAAAAAGAAAAATGAGAAGAAACCTGGGTATTGCCTTGAAATTCTCTCTCTCAGCCACCATAGCCACCATCTGCTGAAGGTCTATCTATAAAGTATGTCCAGTCTCTTCCTTGACCCCCACCCGAATGGGTAAGGTTATATTTCTTCTTCTTCTTCTTCTACTCCTTCTTTCTCAATAGGCTCCCTTTGCTCTAACTGTCATGGTTTTTAAGCCACAAGAAACATCACTTCTTGCTTGAGCCCATATAACACCTTCCTATTGCTCATACTGTGAGTGCTCTACGGACCTGGGTCCTGCCTTGCTGTGAGGTCCTGTGCTCTTTACATCACTATGTCACCTCCACCTTGAGCACTGTGACACCTTTCTGGAGTCCTTGTCTTACCCCTACTGGTTGTGATCCATCCCTCATATTCCCCGAAGTTGCAGGTAACTGAGTGAAGAAACTAATGAGGATGATTTTTCTCATTCAACCTCGAGGGCACACATACCTTGGAGGACATTGTTCTCATAACTGGACACGGAGGACAGGACTCTGTATAAAGAAGCAAGAGGAGGGTCTCAGACCACTTCTCACCCGATGAACAATTTCATTTTCTGAATTTCTTTCTCTTTTTCTTTTGTTTATACCTTTATTTTGTTTATTTATTTTTATGTGGTGCCGAGGATCAAACCCAGGGCCTCACACATGCAAGGCAAGTGCTCTACTGCTGAGCCATAGCCCCAGCCCCTCTTTCTCCTTTTCCTGAAATGCTCTTTGCCTTCTTTTCTCTCTTTACAGATCCTCCCTTGTGTTTCTCTTTTCCTCTATTTAGTATTATTTCAAGCCAAAGTCATGTGAATTTCAATCACTCTTCAACAGAATGGAGGGCATCTGAGGATTTCTGGAAAATCAACAAAAACTGCATTTATACCTACGGCTTGTGTGTCATTCACCTCATTTAAAGTGTTCAACAGCTCTGTTAAGGAGTAAGTGGGATTCAACGTGTGAAAAAATGAGAATAGATTTCAGCAAGAAGGGGCTGGTGACACCAAAAAAAAGTTTGATTGTTTATATGCTGTCTCTTATCAGAGCTGTCCCTGTGTCCTTCTGATGTGACTATAAAAAAACAAGTATTTCCACATTGACTACCACACGTGTAAAGTCACTCCAACAAATGTGCCTGCAACTTTTGGAGTTAGAAGGAAACAATTAGGTTTGATTCTTCTTTTTCAGATGCATATTTGCATCCAGAGCTATTCAAAGTCATAGATTCCATCCTTTTCGTGACCCTTAAAGTAGTACAGTAGCTAAATGTTCACACTTGTCCTTTTTAGCTTTAAAAGAAATGTCACATACTAGGTTTCTGTAAATGACCCACATTCAGATGTGAACCAAACATAATAGCTTCTGCCACTCACCAAGCAATGAATTGCCGCAAATGTAGGACACAGGGCAGAGGACTTGGTAAATTGCTTTGTTTCATCGGCCATCATCGGAACCTGTGGCATAATATGTGACCTATTTCTATAAACAATCATGCCTAAGGCTTCGCAGACAGGTGGAATGTAGTTTCTCTTTTAATTACATTTTGAAGAAATAATTTAAAAATAACAAAAGTTTTTCAGCCATTGAATCATTATATTGTTAAAGGAAATCCACATTTGCAACCATTACCATATCACAATATATACTTGAATAGAATAAAATTTTCACTTTTTTATTAAAAAAAAAACAACTCAAGCCAACAAAAGCTGCAAGAGTTCTACAATGAACTTGTATATTCTTCTTCCAGATCCACTAATTGTTAAAAAATATTTCATCTGTGCTTTTTTTGTCCTCTCATATAGGATCCAATAGCTTAAATTTTACATAATTCAGTTTGATATTTTCATATGCACATACATACATCTAAAATGGCAGAAAATGAGTAAAAATGTGTATGTGTATGATTCTGATCCACTTGAGAATAATTTCATTGTTATTCTCAAGTGGATTAGAATCATATGACTCACATTCTGTACTTACCAAGGGAATAGTTTTTCCTTTCTCTTTCATCGATATCACCAATATGTTTATAAAATTGAAACTTTTTCACATTGTTTATTTGTATTTTTCAGAAATTTACCTAATAATGTTGGACTCTAACTTTCCAAAGAGGACCAAAAAGGTGGAGGATCAAAGATACACAAAAGGATAAAATTCCCTTTTATCCAATAGAATCAAATGTTTCACATTATATAGGTGTTCCATTACTTGACTAATTATATAATCCAAAATTACTTAATTATTAATGTTCAGTTTGTTTATTTTTATTTTGCATCTGTAACCATAGACTGTTTTTTCCTTGTGTGATAAGTAAGCTGGCTATAAAGAGCTGTAAAATACGCTAAAACGAATACAGGTTAGTAAATTGACTCATTAACAACCCTTTATCGAGCTTTCCACCAGAAAATACCATCCAAAATGAAAAAAAATTTTTTTTAAGTAAAATGCAATTAATCTTTGTACAGTTTTCCATATTCCAATGTGCCATTTCGTTCTCTGTCAAAACATTTGTTTACCGTCCTGTAGATCCAGGCTTGGATGTTTACATAATTATTCTTTCACACAGAATGAAAGAGAAATAAAAACAAGACAGACATTTTCTGGGCAAAAGGAACAGAAGCCCGCAGAAACAGGACTGTGATTCCTAATTAATTCAAAGTTAATTGCATTGTTGATAATCCTGCACTTAAAATCTTCATATAGAAAATGTTTATGGCAGCAAATTGACAGTAATTTAACTACATTAAATCTTATCACCATTAAAAGAAAAAAAAGATGAATGTTACATTAAACAAGCTTAAGAGAATGGCGAAGACTAGTTCTTGTTTAACAAGCCAACCAGTAAATCATTCAAATGGCTGACCTAGACTCTCCAAACAGCACAAAATCCACCTACTGGTGTATTCAAGATGGTAGTAGGCAGGATGGGGGCGTTTCTCAGCAATAGATGGCTTGCTGAGCATGCGCAAATCCCTGTTTGCTCCCTCAAGGGCATAGAGTCTGTCCTGGGTCATCAATTATGCAGAGTGGCAGTTTGTGATTATTTTCATTGAGAGGAATGCAAAATGGTTAAGAAATAAAAAAAGACACACAGATCCTATTTTATTGTGAGAGTCAAAAAGTCTATTTTACTATTTTGGAAGAATCAAGGTAGAGGTAGTGAGTGAACCAAAGATATCAGTTGCATTAGTTATTTGAACTCAATGTTATGGAATGAAATAAATTTAGTAGTTAGCCCTGAGTTTGGATTCTGTCTGTTACTTGTAGACAGTATGGCTAACTTTGTTTAATCTTAGTATTAATGTGCAAAAGGCAGGATTAAGGTAAGGCTCCAATCACACAATGGATATGAAGTTGCCATTATAATGAGAAGTAAAAAAAACCAAAAAACAATTCTGTCCACTAGAGCAAAATCTAATTATTCTGACCATCAGAATAAAAATTACTGTCCATGAATCCTCCACTTCCATTGTGTAGAAAGGCACTTCTATGAGATGCCTAAATATCTGGACACTGTGATTTATGCCTTAGGCATTATTAAAAGATTTAATTCTCTCCGGGCACAGTGGCACATGCCTGTAATCCCAGAGGCTCCGGAGGCTGAAGCAGGAGGTTTGTAAATTCAAAGCAACTTAGCAAGGTCCTAAGCAACTTAGAAAGACCATGTCTCTAAGTAAAAAAAAAAAAAAAAACACACACACACACACACACACACACACACACAAGGCTGGGGATGTGGCTGGATCTGTGGTTAAGCACCTCTGAATATCCCTAGTACAAAAATGGTAGTTTATTGATACACATTAGGGTCCTTGGTCTATCCTATGGACAGTTAGTGGCATGGTAAAACTCTTCTTGTTAGATTAGTTCCAGGTATACAAAATGAGTGAGTGATAAATATGGAATTTCCTCAGATTTTCAATTTCACTCAATATTTTGAAAATTAAAACATATATTAAAATAAATGGTGGATTAAGGATAGTAACACCTTTTCTCTTTTCTATGGTTAAGGGCACTTAATGGAAAAGTCATAAGCATGCACTAGTTAGTGTCTAGAATACTCATCTAAATATTACTTAAAAATCAAGGAATTAATGGAGTTTCTATCATGGGAGACACTAAAACCAACTCATGGAGGAAGTATAAATCCAAATTCAATATTTCTTTAGACAAATTCCTAGTATTTGAACTAATCTGAATATCCACAGTGCCATAAATGGTCGAGTCTGTCTTCATATTTTGAAGTCTTTACTTAGATATCAACAATCAGAATCAATAAGTTTGTAGGAAATAACCGCAGAAACAATCAAATTTGCTTTTTGGATGAGTTATAATATTTAGCTGAGGAAACTATTAAATAACTTCTGGAATTTGAATTATCATAGATTTCTGGAAAAAAAGGAACAAATGAATTAAATAAACAGAAATTGATAAAAAGATACAAATTATTTAAGACTTTGAAAGTAAAAGTAAGATTTGGAAGAAGGAAAAACAGATAACAGATGCTTTTGTCCTTAGGTTGCACAGTGACTCTTGGATATTGGATGCATTTCAGCGTATCCACAGTGAAGAATCCAAGTTCTTCATTCCGTATGATTTGGAGATTTCCAATCAGGAGCTAAGTTACATAGTGAAAAGATCCCAGCAATGGAGAGGAATCAATGGTGAACGAAGGAAGGTACATTGATGTGAAGTGGTTTTGCTTTCTGGCTAGACAAAAGAAACTCATTTTGTTTGCATTATCAACAAGTTACATTTTCTTACATTTTCTTACTTGCAATTACTTATATTGTATTTGCCACTTTCTTTTTTTCTTTTTAAACAAATCTTTCAATTTCACTTCATATAGTTTTTATTACTCAAAGAGACTAGGTCAGATGGTTCTTATAGGTTAGCACGATTGTTTTCTAAGAGAAACATTTATTAATACATGTGTTTATTTATTAATACCTGTGTTTGTGGGTGTACATGTATTCTGTGTGTACATGTATATACACACATATATGTGTGCATGTGTGTGTATATATATTTTTCTATATGTGTGTTCTATATCTATATTTATATCTTTATAACAAAGCAGCATAAAGGTTGTGAGGAATATAACAGGAGCTAGTAACAGGGTTTCTGCGTGTGAACTGATGATTGGCTTTAATGTAGCCTTGCATGAACAAGAGGAAGAGACTGTTCTTTCCACCTTTGGGGTCCTTATCAGTCCCCTGGCTTCTCCTCCCTCTTGATAATATACCTCCTAGGCTTTTTCCTTTAGGCTTTCCTTCCTCCACCAGCCTCTTCCTCAGTGTCCTCCAGGGTTCTAACCTGGTTTATGACTCTCCCTACTCTTCATGCTGTTTTTTGTTAACCTCCTTTCAAAATGTCTTCCACTCTGTTAAAAGATTCTCAAAGGGGCATCTGGTGATGATACCTCACTTCCTAGTAACTTGATGTTTCCAGAGGGTCATCTCAAGGATACCTAAAATCCAGTATGGTCCAGACACAGTTGGTTTCACACATGTTATTGAATGAGCACATGCATTTCACCGGTGTCAGGAAACCACATATTCACACTTTGATAATTTTTGTACATAATTTCTGTTTCAATTATTCTAAATTGTGAAGGCCCCAAACTCAA